ACTGACCGAAGTGCTAAGAAGAATCGGGAGCAGGAACCAGTTAGGAGGCCAATGGAGGGGAGGTGCTCGGGGCACTGTGGTGGCAGCGGAGGTGTCAAAGACCAGCTGGACTTGGGGATGTGCTCTGAAGGCAGAGCCAACAGGATTTCCTGCCGGATTGGGTATGGGGTGTGAGGGAAGGAGAGGAGGTAAGGATGACATCAAGGCGTTTGGCCTGGAAAGCTGGAAATCCGGCAGGGCACCCGGTGGCCACCGCTTAGTGGCTTTAGCTGTCTCCTAGGGCCTGCGGGTGAGGTCAAGGCAGAGGCAGAGGGAGGCTCAGGTCAGCTCTGCTCCCTGCTCAGTGCTCGGGATGGGCTGTGCATCCCAGTTATTCCATTACACTTTATTTATGGCCTTACTGGCTTTGGCGTTTCCTTGTCTCCTGTCTGGAGCAAAGGCTATAAATGTGATGGATGGGTACAGGATGTAGGAGGCCCAGTTATCTCTGGTAAGCTGGTCTCCTCTCTTGGGCTAGCCCTCTTTGCTTCTATCATCTGAGATGTCTCCACAGCCCTGCACATACAGGGAAACTGGCCCTGGCTGTCTACAAAGAGGGGTCTCCCCTGAGGGTGAGTAGCAGACAGGAGATTCCCATGGAGAAGTGGCCTTAAAGAGAAACCCTGGAGCTTTGCTTGCATCCACATCCCAGCACGTGCCCTGTTACATTGTGCCCCACACACAGCCAGGCAGGGGTTGGGACCGACAGGAAGACAGGACATACTGCTGGTGAGCCAGCCCACATCCGGGCAAGGGCTTCTGCCGGGACCTCACACGCTTCTCAGGAATCCGAGCCGGCCTGTCTCTCCATAAAGGCTGGGATGATGGGTCTTTTCTTGTCAGCAGCAGGTGCCTGGCAGCTGCTCAGGATGCCAGCCCTGTGAGCTGGCATGGGGGAAGTGCTTGTTAGAGTGGGCGTTAGCCTAGGCTCCTCAAGTCTCACCGTTGTTGCTCAAGGTGACTGGGATACCATGAAGAGCAGTGTCAAGTGCTTGGCCTTAAGGTCTCTGCGAGACACCCTGTTCCTCAGACCGCAGGGCAGCTGTCAGTCCTTGACTGCCACTTCTGGACACCCTCATCACCCACTCTGCTTGAATTTTCCTTGTCTCCTCTGCCTACTTCTGTCCCTGGGAACATCCTGAGACTTGTGGCCTGAGTGGCCTTGGGACATTTTGGATATGGGTGAATCCATCCAGGTGAAGATCCTAATTGGGCCGGCATCTAGCTTTCTTCCAGAGAAACAGTGGAGGATGGGAGTACGAGGGAGGGAAAGGACTGGAGACCTCAGAGACAGGAAGGGCTCAGGTGAAGGCCCATGGTGGATTGGTTGATCGTTCTGACTGATTCTACAGACACCCTCACGCCTCATTGGTGCTGGGTGTGAAGGCTGGGCTGGAGACAGGGTTGTGACTAAACAGCCTGGCCCGACCAGCCTCAGCCCTTAGTGTGGTGCATTGGCATAACAGGTGTGCTCAGAGTGCTGGGGGCAGGGCAGAGAGGCTCCCCCGAGCCCATTACAGACCTGCCTCATGCACCCTCGCCTTGCCCTTGGTCACACCTCTCAGTGTGGCCTCTCCTCTAGGACAGCCCAAGCATCTTCCTCCCTGCCCCTCCCAATCTCCTAGACACAATCTCATGGCTGTCAGGGCCGATGCTGGAGGGCTGCTGCCGTGGGGCCGGGCAGCTGCCAATGCTGTGGCCCCAGGGCGAGAGCTGACGTCTGTCCAGGAGCATCTCTCTCCCTGCCAAGGGCTGAGATTCCCAGCCGCGTGCCTTCCCCCTTGACGCAGGAGCTGGCATCTGCCACTCTCACAGTCATCTGCTACCCAGACCCCAGCCTCACCCCTGTTTGGCCTGGTGACAGCTGTGGCTCCCACAGCCTCAAGCCTGGTCCAGTTGCAACACTCTCTAAGTCAGTTGAGGGCTCTTACCTCAGGGAACTGGGGAAGGCTGTACAGAGAGGAAATCAGACTTGTAAACCTGGCTTACAGCGCAGTGGGAAGTGCTGAGGTAATGTCCCCGGAGGGCGGGAGGAAAGAGACCCAAGCCCTGTACAGCCTTGTGGTGTGGGCCGCTGCCTCAGACTCCTTAGTCTACCATACTTTAGTCATAGAAGTCCTCCCACACCCAGTGTCTAGCGACACAGCACTGAGGAAGAGGAACATGGAGCCACCTGGCGTTTCTCTTAGTATTTTTAAATGTATGAAGATGGCTTCTGTGAGCCACACACGTGCCTGGTGCCCACAGAAGTCAGAAGCGTGTAAGCTCCCCTGGAGCTACACAACAGTTACAGATGGCTTTGAGTCTGAGGATCAAACCTGGGTCCTCTGGAGGAGCAGCTAGTGCTCCTAACCACGGAGCCATCTCTCCAGACCCTCTGGTATTTCTTTAAATTCTACCCCATAGAAATTTTCAAGAGACATTTGCCATCACTCGGCAGGGACCACATAGGCAGGCATTCCCCAGGGTTTATACGTATGTAAGATGGCTCCATAAAGTCACACATCCCCACACGTGCCTCGGGGGGTTTGGGTTCTGATGCTTATTCCAAAGCTGGTTGTGGCCGCTGTCCTAGGATGTAGATTGTCCTTTATTTTATTTTATTTTATTTTATTTTATTTTATTTTATTATTTTATTTTATTTTATTATTTTATTTTTGTAGACTGTCCTTTGAGTGGCCCTCGTTGGCTGGAGGAAAGACAATGAAGAAAGTGGCCAAGGGAGTGACCAATAGTGTGAGAATATTACGTTCCATGTGGGGACATTTTTACAGGGATGTCTCAGTCTCCAGGGTATACGGAGTCTGAGGAGGGGAAGCTGAGAGCATCTGGAGGCAGGGTCTTTTGGAGAGGTTCATAAATGTGCTGTTTCCAGGACCCTGGGCCTCCCTTCAAGGAAGGGCCCAGGGGGCAGGTGTGTGCCGCCCCCTGAACTCGGGCTTTCCGCAGCAGGATTTTGGGAGGCTGCCTGGGGAATGGTGACATGTCAGACATGGCCAATGGGGACTTGCCAGGCCTCAGCAAGTTGAGCACATGGTGATCATCTTGGCAGGAGTCTGGGTGGACTCATGAGTACGAATGGACAGGACAAAGGTCAGCAGGGATCCTGGGAAAGGGGCATCTCCTGGGAAATTGCAGAGGGAAGGCATGGCAGGGGGCTCCTGACAGCCCAAAAGTGTCCCCAACTGTATGCCTGGCCTGGGAGGAACCGCCCAGCCACTCTGTCCCTAGCACTGCACGTGGCCATGCCAGGCCAAAACTGTGCAAGAAAGGCGACGGTAGGCTGCTGTGTTCCCTGAACAGAAACGCCACAGGCTCTGCCCGTTCTCAGCCAGGCCCAGGGAGGAGTTTCCATCAAGCAAGGCTGGTCTCAGTCACATCATCGGGCTCCTACTTGCTCACCACTCCATTGACATTTGTAGAGAGGGGAGCTGTGACAGGCTGAAGGCAAGTGACCGGTAGGAACCTGGGCCGTGTCAGTAAAGGTTCCCAGAGGAGGAGGAGGAGGAGGACAGTCCTGAGCCCGAGAGGAAAAACAAGCATTCCGGGTAGAGGGAGCAGCAGCTGCTGAGGCTGGGAGGGCCTGGGGCCTTGGGGGCCAGGGAGATGTGGTTACAGAGGTCAGCGGGGCCACAGGCCTGGGACAGTGTGCCTTGATCCTGAAGTAACAGGAAGCCACAGAGCAACCTTATCCAGGGTTAGTAATCTTGGATTGAAATATCACCCTGGCCACTGAGGAAAGAATTTGGAATGGATGAAGTTAGCAAAGGAACTTCTTGATGGTCTCCAAGAGGTAAGACATAGACCCTGTAACCTAACAAGGAGAACAAGTTAGAACTGAGCAGTGGGATTTCAGAATCATTGAGGAGATGGGCCTCCAGGGCTGGGAGGAGGTGTGTGGGTGTCAGGGGAGGCTCTTAAGATGGCGTTAATGGGCTTGGGGCAAAGGGAGCAGGTTGAATTCAGCATCAGGTGATCTGGCTGGAAGGTCTAGAAATACCCAGAGTGGACACTGGCTCGGGGTTCAGGAGAGAGGCCCTGGCTCAGGTCAGGTTCTGTTTCAAAGCCTCACTTGGGGCTGGAAAGGCACACTCAGGAGCCAGGAGGAGTCAGGGCAGCAAAGGAGAAAAGCAAAACCAACCAACAGCCAACCACAAGGGTTGACTATAAGGCCGTTAGAGCTGTCACAGTCACAGAGAGCGTGGTGCGGCTGTGGACAGGACTGAGGACCACCTTGCTGGACACACATGTTCTACTCTACAGATGAAGAGATGGGTGGTGGGTGCTTGGCAAAATGTTGGCTGTCACTGAACTGGGTGCATAACACAGCTAAGGCGGTGAGTTCAGTGCTATGTGTATTTCATCACTATTAAAAACACTTGAAACAGGAAAGCCTGGAAAGGGAGGTGCGCAGGCAGGAGAGGGAAGACCCCGGGTGACCTGCTGCACACTGAGGTGAGGGTTTGCACATGAGGCCAGAGGGGACACTACTGAGTCCAGCCACAAGGAGGTCCTGTAGGCTGGCAGAGCACATGGGCATGTGGTGAGAGGGCTGGCAGCAAGGACTGAGGGAGGAGAGGACCGGGCCAGTGCCAAAAGTCACAGGTCCAGGGTAGCCAGTACCCCTGCCCTGAGGCTGTCCCTGGCTTGGCCCTAAGGAGGTACAGTTTCCCTAGTGCCCTGGAGCAGGAGGTCTTCAACGGCCTAGGCATCTCTTCTCCCGGGGGACATGACACCCTTTCTGCATCCCCACTTGTGCTGGCTGTTCTCCAGTGACAAGCTGAAGTCATTCCCAAGTCCTGGGCACTCTCTTCCACCACCACCACCACCACCACCGTTCTTCAGCCCCACTCAAGCCAAGGCCTCCTCCCAGCTACTCCCAGCCTCTGACACCCTGCCCTTTCCTCTGTGCCCACATTACACCTCAACACAGGAACAGAATGCAGACCAGGTCATGTAAGCCATTTATTAGTTTGTTTGAAAAATAATGTATTCCGTTTATACACGAAGCTTGGTGAGAAGTGCTTGTTTATTTCAGACAACACCTGACGTGTATGCGTGTCCCTCCCTCCCTCCGTCTGCTTTCTTCTCCCTTCTTGCCCACCACTGTGCAGTTCTGAGCCAAGGAGCTGGGGCTAGCTGGCTCCCGCTCTCAGCCATCCCGTCTGCAGCCAGCCCTGGGCATCTGTCTTAAGACTCCGAGGCTATCCGAATACTCGAAACCACAGTCTCCTTCCGGGCAGCTGGCGTGGCAGCCCTGTCAGCCTGGCCAGCCCTCAGCCACGTTCCTGCCTAGGCAGCCTGAACTGGGTGCCAGGGAGGGACACACATCTCTCCAAGCCTTGAGAGCAAAGCACAGATCTACAAAAATAAGATTTCCACTCAGAGAAGTGTCACCTGGACAGTTAAAACCAAGCCCCTCCCCCCCACTGAGCTCAGTGGGGACATTGGATCAATCTCCAGGAGCGGGTGGGGCGGGGGCTGGTTGCCACCGGGAACTGAGGTGACAAGAGGAAACGTAATACTTGGCTCGCCCGCAGTGTCCCGCTTCGGCACCGCCAGGAGCATCCAGCCCTCCAACAGCTCGGCGAGGTAGGTAGGAGCAGCCAGCCTGCAGTGGGCAGGTGAGGCTGAGGTGGCCTGTGTGGCCGGCAGCGCCAGCGGAGGGCAGCTGAGCCCTGGCCTGCTCAGGCCCCACCAGCCAGTCACCTCAGCAGTGACAGTTCTGCACATTAAAAAGATTTGCATATGCTAAATAGGATTGTCAGCAGCTGAAGAGGTCACGGGGACAATTGGACTAGTAAAATCTTTTTTTTTTTTTTTTCCCTGAAAAAGCCTTCTCAGAAGACTCCTGGGATATAGTCAGGGCCCTGCCCTTAGGAGGCCTGCGTCTGGACAACTCCAGACCCCAGGCGGGGGCCGAGTGCCATGCTTCCTCCTTTCCCAGTGGGGCTGCATGGCTTGTTTCTTCCCAGGGCACAGAACCAGGCCTGAGCATCCTGAGCATCGGGGACCTTCCTCCTAGCCAGGCCCAGGCCACCCTCCCACATCTACAGTGTCTGAAGACCTGGAGACCCAATGCGAATGCCCTCCACACATGGGTAGAGGCAGAGAGACCCCAGGGGAGCCTGGGACAAGGAGACCCCTTCCTTTGTCATGGGCTGTGTAGCTGCCACGGCTGGGTGCAGTTTGGCAGCCCACACAGAGCAGCTCTCTCTTCCCTTGGCCTGAGGACAGGGCCTGCCACACCCCAGGAGCAGGCTGCGTGCCCGGCTGAGACGGCAGCCTGCCTGTGCCCTTGGGTTCCAACCTTAATACTCTTACGGGAGAGGAGGAAATGTGCACCTCGGAGACCTCAGCTGATCTCTGGAAGCTTTTAGTCTTTGTATCACTGACCTCAGCGAAGCCTGGATAAAAAGAGGAAAATGGGGTCCCGGGGACATCGGGAGTGCAGAGTGAGCTCCACTGGAAGAACCCCGCGCTTGGGGGCCAGGAAGGAAAAACCTGTCTCCTTTGGAGCAGCTGGCCACACTTGGGATCCTGGGCCCTTGAGTCCAGCCCGAGTGTGTGAAGTGTCCAAACACTCACGTGTGTGAGTGAAACACTTAGGCCTTCCTGGCTCCTCAGCTCAGGTGACAGGAACTACACTCCTCCCTTGGGCATGAAGGCCTGGGGAAGCCACGCTGGATCCCACTTTACTGAGAGCAGGGTCCTGGCAGCGCCACTGACACACTCGTCCAGGGTAAGGGAGGCAGTGTGAGCTGCCACAGGTGTTCGTGGAAAAGATGTTCTTTGCTCAAGTAAAAAAATATCAAATATAATAAATCTATGAAAGCCTGTTCACAAGTGTGCACTGCGTTTTCCGTTCCACCTCAGAGGCTGGGACAGACTTGCTGTCCAGAGCCCTGGAGCCTCGCCTGTCCAGACCAGGCTGCAGGGTGTGCCAGGCCTCTACCAACAGGGTTCCTGCAGCTGCTCCTGGCCTCAACACAGAGGCACAGACCTCTGCCTCCGCTGGTTCTAACTGCCTAGGGTTTGTCAGGATCTGAGAGGATGCGTCCCGGCTGGCGGTTGGGGCCAGGCTCACACTATGGACTCGTGGTCCCTGTCCGGCGATGGAGGGAAGTCTGCGAGGTCTTCGCTGTGGCTGTAGTCAGATGCACGCATTGGGAGGTTGTCGCTGGTGGCTCTCGTGACGCTGTCGTAGGAGGGAGGGAAGGACGTGGAGGAGATGGAGGAGCTGGAGGCGGGGGCGCTGCGCTGGGAGAAGTTCTCATTCATCATGTAGGCGATGAGGCCCTCCCGCTCAGGGGCGTCCTCATCCGAGAGGCCGCTGCTGCCCGCCTGCTGGCGGAAGAGGAAGGAGGCGTGCTTCACCGAGCGATGCAGCAGGTGCCTCCGGAAGGCCCTCTGGATGACTGTGGCCGACACCTCCTCGTGTTTCCGTCGCAGGGTGGTGGTGATGGGCTCGTAGGAGATCTTGGAGGGGTTGGCCGCCATGAACTTCTCCTCCATCTGGATCTTCAGGGCGTCCATTTCCCCAGACTCCCCGAGGACCCTCTTGGTGAAGGCAAACAGGATGTCCATACAGTGGATGCGGTCCCCACTCACCATGGGGAGGTCCATGTTGATGAGGTTTATCTGGTTGGGCTTGGCGATTCGGAGCGGCTCAGACAGGGCATCTGCGAAGTCGGACAGGGCCAGGTACTCGATGAACTGGGTGGCCTCCGGGTCGAACTTCTCCCAGATCTCATAGAACATGTCAAAGTCGTCCTCGCTCAGGGGCTCTGTGCTCTCTTCAGTGGCCACACTGAAGTTCTCCAGGATGATGGCAATGTACATGTTGACCACGATGAGGAAGGAGATGATGATGTAGGTGGTGAAAAAGAGGATGCCCACCGCTGGGCTCCCGCAGTTCCCCCGGGAGCCATTGCTGTTGAGAAGGTTGGGGTCGCAGTAGGGGGGACCCGTGTTGAGGATGGGGCTGAGGAGGCCGTCCCAGCCGGCTGATGTGGTGATCTGGAAAAGGCACAGCATGCTGTTGGCAAAGGTCTGGAAGTTGAACATGTCATCGATGCCAGCCTCCCACTTGACATAAGCAAAGTTGGCCATGCCAAAGATGGAGTAGATGAACATGACGAGGAAGAGCAGGAGGCCGATGTTGAAGAGGGCGGGCAGGGACATCATGAGTGCGAAGAGCAGTGTGCGAATCCCCTTGGCTCCTCGGATCAGCCTGAGGATGCGGCCAATCCTGGCCAGACGGATGACCCGGAAGAGCGTTGGGGAGAAGAAGTACTTCTGGATGATGTCAGAGAGGACGGTGCCTGTGGGAAAGAAGCAAGACTGTGTCCTCCATGGCACCTCTGCCCTCCTTCAGGCCAGGTTCAGCTGAGGGCAAGCATGTCTGTAGGAAGACTAGGTCAATGGTACATTCTAGGACATGGCCTCCTCTTGCCTCTAGTGACCCAGGCGATGAAGACTTACATTTTGCTAAATTGTCTTCTCAGCTCCATTATTCTAATTGTAAGGGCACGCCTGCACAATGAAGATATATCATGTGTGCCTGGGTTCTGAGGCCAAAAGGTCCTCACTCATCACTCCTACCTGACAAGAGCCAGAGCTCAGGACTTCCAGCTCCTCACTATTCACATCATGGCCTGAGGACCAGCAGCTAGGGATCTCCCAGAGGTGTCTCCTCTTAGCAAGTGCAGATGCTGCAGGGGCATGCTAAGGGCCAGGCCATGCTGGCACAGGGCAGGTCAGTGATACCCGCACAGGCCAAGCTTCGGTGTCCCTGTGACGGCTCCTATCGCCCTTCAGCTCCTCCCACCTTTAGGACGCTACTGTAAGGGCACAGGTGTATTACCCGAAAAAGATGAAGTACACTTGCCTCTTGGGATGCAAGCGACCTACCTAGCTCTCCAGCATGATTCAGGGGCGCTGGGCTATGCACTTTTCAGCCTTTGTTTCACTAGACTTCCCAGAATTCTGAGAAGGTGCACCATCATCTCCCTTCCAGAAGATGGGACGGACACAGGTTAACTGGCCCGAGAGACAAGCTGGGATGAACGCCAGGCCCTCTAGCTCCATGGAAACCTCCTAACCGCACTCTGGGTCAGTCCAGCACCAGGACTAGCAGGTGACTCAGAAACCCACTCTGAACCTCCCAAAGCCTCCAAGACTCAGTGGCCCACTCCACCCAACATCCCGCACCCCTACGCTGCTCCCCAGCCCCGTGAGGCCCACTGCCATCCTTACCTCCACCTGGAGGCTTGAGGCATTTCTGATCCTAACTCGTGCTCTAAATGCCAGCTCATGAACGCGGTGGCATGAGTGGCCTTGACCTCTGTTTGGACTCACCAGAGGTGGATGATGTGTATGGCAGAAAAGCAAAAGCAAGTATGGGAATGGGTGTGTGTGTCAAGTATCTAGGCTCTAAGCACAGCAACAAAGAAAAATATATAGGCTCAAAATTAGACTTCATTAAAATTAAAACACTTGTGCCCCAGTAGACATCATGAAGACAGGGAAACAGAGAAATTGATATATATATATATATATATATTTGATAAGGGATTAGAATCCCAAATAAAGCACTCTTATAACTCAACTAGAAAAAAGATAAAATACCTTTGAATACGTTTTGGATAGGTATTCTCTATGCAAGATAAACAAATGGCTAGGAAGCGTAGGGCTGGAGCAGAAAACATGGCCAGGGCAGGACTTCTCTGTCCAGCCAACATGTGTACTCACCCACGATGGAGAGGATGACAACCACGAAGTCGAAGATGTTCCAGCTGTTGGTGAAGTAATAGTGGCGCAGGGCAGCCATCTTGACAATACACTCGCCTGTGAAGATGGCCACGAAGAGCAGGTTGATCTTGGACAAGATGTTGACCTTCTCGGGGCTCTGGTCATCTGTCTCTACCATCATGGTTACCATGTTTAAACAGATGAGGAACATGATGGTGACGTCGAAGGCCTGCTTGGTCACAATGTCGAACATGAAGCCCTGGTACTTGTTCTAGAAGAAGAGGTGAGGGGCTCAGTGCAGAAGAGTCTGGGGCCAGTCATCCCAGACAACTTGCATCCTACTCACCCCCTGGGAGACTACAATGCCCCCCCCCCGCCCCACTGCATGGCATATATAGAGGAGGAAAGCCATGGAGGTAGACCAGTTGGACCTCCTGCCTGTATACTGTATCCCCTCCAGGCACTAAGGCCCAGTCCTGGGGCTCCTCCTCCACCAGGCCACCCTGAAGGACCTTCTGGTAGTAGACTTCTGTCCTGGGTTTCAGCACAGCACCGGAGTGCTGCTCTTTGGGTCTCACAATCTGGAGGCTCAAGGTCAGACCTAAACTTCAATCCTAGCAATTGCATATGCCTTCAGATTAACATGTATTTCTCCATGCTGTTTATGGAATAGGTGTTATCCGTTCTACAGAATCAAGCTATTTCCTATCTGTATGTTTTAAAAACATTTTATTTTCAAGTGTGTATATGTGGGGCTGCATGTAGGCGTGTGCACATGTGTGTGCAGGGGCCTGTGGAACACCGGAAATGTCACTGAGCCCCATATCTGGAGTTACAGGCAGATGTGTGCTGGAAACTGAATTCAGGCACTCTGCAAGAACAGCACAGGATCTTAACCACTGAACCATCTTCCTAGCTACTCTATGTGTCTTTCATTGTGAATGAGCCCAGGTTATTTAAAGAAGAGATAGAATAGGAATAAAATGTCTGTATTCTCTCTCTGTCTTTCTTTGTCCCCCCAACACACACACACACACACACACACACACACACACACACACACACACACACACTCACACACACACAGACTAATCTAGGAGAGACGAGTGTGAATAGGGAAGAACACTTGAAAGCTTTGAAACACTGGGCCTGTCTAATTGGCTGCTGGTTTAGGGTCATCTCGCCTTATTATTTTGAATGTTCCCTCACACCATTTTTGTTTGTTTGTTTGTTTGCTTGTTTTTTTTTTAGGACTGGGTCTCAGTATGAAGCCCTGGCTGGTATGGAACTCTCAGTGATCCTCCTGCCTCTGCCTCTCAAGTACTGGAAGTAGAGGTAGGCACCCCCATGCCTCAACTCATCCCACATTTTCCAAAGAATGGCTAGATGGGGTTCAGAAAGTCAGGCCAGCAGACAGCCCAGCACCTGCCCTGGCTCTACACACAAAGGGAACTTATATAGTTCTCTGATTGTCCCCAGAGTTCTGGGGATGAGACTGTGAGTTGGGGGTAGCTCACTACCCTCCCTGGGAAGAGCCTGTACCCCTGAGAGGAAGGAGGGGCCCCGTGGGAGCAGCTGAGTTCCTGTGAGTATGCAGTGTACCCTAGGTGCCACTGCTCCCTGCCTTCCCCCCTCTGTGTGGGAGACCAATCTGACAGCGCTGTTCAGCGGGCTGAAGCCTGAAGAACCCTTGATGGCAGGCTTTGACGGGGGTGGAGTCAGGGCTCCTGACTCCACCAGGGAGCCTGGCTCACCAGGGGCCGTGGGATGGGCTTCTGCGGTTTCTTGGAGCCCAGCTTCTTCATGGCATTGTAGTACTTCTTCTGCTCCTCTGTCATGAAGATGTCCTGGCCCCCTAAGTATAGAAAAACAGCTCCCGCATAATTCTGGGGTTCTCAGCATCAGCTTCCTAAGTCAAGATGCCAGGCTCAACTGCTTCGTCACTTCCTGTCCCAAAGGTGTATTTGGAGAGATTTCCTCCAAAATCTGCCATTCCTGTCCTTCCCTGTCCCCATTCCCTGGGAAATACCTCTGGCTTTTGTGGCCTGCAGACCCTCCGAGTTGGCTTGGCCAGGCCTCGGCATCTGTCTGAGCATCTCACTTGGTCTGGCTATAGCCTAATCGTGGCTTCCCTGGGGTATCTCTCTCCTTGGGTCTCTGCCCAGCCCCACCCACAACTTGATCACATTTCAGGTTAACAGTTTGAGTTCTAACCCCTGAACCTCTTAGTGAGATGAAGGCCAGCAAGGACCCACCAAAGTTCCCTCCGTTCTTCATGGCCATGCCCACACCCCTCCCCACCCTACTTCATCAGGGTGAAGAAGAGGTGCATCCCTGAGAGAACAAGACGGGGGCCTCCGGCACCCTGTCCTCCTCTGCCCTGCCCCCAAACCAGGTGGACCAAATGCTATACATATCTTTTTCTTCTGCTGGTTGAAGTTATCAATGATGACACCAATAAACAGGTTCAGGGTGAAAAAGGAGCCGAAGATGATGAAAACAACGAAGTAGATGTACATGTAGAGGTTGTATTCCCACTGTGGCTGCTCCTCATACTGCGGGGGAGGATCAGACAGGGTTGTCACACGGGAGGGACAGGGCTGCGGTGGGGACGTAGCGTGTGTGTGGGTGTGTGTGTGTGTGCGCGCGCGCGCGCCTCAGAGCCTTGTCACCAGCCCAGGTGTATGTGAATGGCTGTGATCACACTGGTGGTGACAGAGGTGAATGGAGATGAAGGTGGCAGGCAAGGAGGCAAGGACAGATGGCGTGCCAGGCTAAGGGGTGGCCCATATCAGTGTGTTCACCCTGGGCCAGTGGCAGACAGGGTGACACTGGGCTCTGTCTGTCCTCCCCTGGTCGTCGGCATGACTGGGCAGAGCGTGAGTCCCCAGGAGGAACTCATCTGTGTGCCTGCTGCTTCCACCTGCTCTCCTGAGTGAGGATGGGGTGGATCAGCTCGAGAATTTGGGGACCCCATGTGAAATCATGTGGAGCCTGACCCGGGCCCCTCCTGCTGGCTGGGCCTTCAGGCCTTGAGGCTGGGCACCTCAGATGCTGTATCACTGGGAGACACTGGTGGTAACCTACCCCTCTGGAGTCCACGGCGGCATACATGATGTCCATCCACCCTTTAAATGTGGCCTGTGAGGAAGAGAGCACGGAGATCATCAGACTCGGCACTCTGTGTCAGCTGCAAAGAACTCGCGTCTCCATTCGGCAGGCGGCCTCCTGCGAGAAGCAAGTACTCTCCAGTCCTCCTGTTCAGGGGTGTCCGAAAGGACCAGGAGAAAGGCCTCAGGTAGAGGGTAGGGGTGGAGAAGACACTGAGCAGAAACCCTAAGAAGACCATGTTAGGCTTCTCAAGTGAGGCCGCAGGCCTGGTAAGGCCAGAAGGTTCACTCCTCAAAAACGTATTTCAGAATCTAACACAGCACAGGATCCAGGCGGTGTCCCGGCTTAACGGCTGGTCTCTAGGCTGATCTGGTGAGCTGTGCCCCACTGCTCAGAGGACCAGCGTCCTGCCTGAAGCACGGGGGGCCTCCCTGCCACTATTCCAGCGAGAGGCTAACAACTTGCTTTCCAGAAGGAAAAGAAAAATCCCTCACGTGCTCACCAAGTTCTTGGACGTCAGTATTCCCACTGCGACCAGCACCCCCCCCCCCCAGTGTGATGGATGGGGAGAGAGATGAGAGCCACAGTGTTGTGAAATACACACATCACAGGCGTCACAGACCACAGCTACCTGGGCTGCCCAGACCATAGAAATGAACGCCGGGCTCATCTGTGTTTTAGCATCGCTCACTTACATAGCCAGAAAGTTTAGCTCTCTTAGGATGGTTGTGTGTGCGCGCGTGTGCGTGTGTGTGGGTGCATACATACCACAGTGCACACACAGAAGCCAGAGCACAACTTTCAGGAACTGAAAGAGAACCTAGGTGTCTCTTTCCTCCTGTGGGAACTGGGAATTGAACTCGGGTCTTTGAGCCTAGTGGTAATCGCCTTTCTACACTTAGCTGCCTCACCAGCCCTCTGCCTTTCACTGAGCCTGGAGCTTGCTGATCCTGCTAGCCTGACTGGCCATCATCCAGGGGATGCAGCAGGGTGCCTGTCTTCACCTTCCCAGCACTGAGCGTACAGGCACACCTGGCTTATGATGTGGGTGCCTGGGATCTGAACTCGGATCCTTATGCTCATGTGGGGAGCACTTTACTGGCTGAGCCGGTGGTTGGTTTTTGACGGCAGGTGTTATAACCATTACACCATCCTGCTCACGTGGGGGTGGGGTGGGGGTCACGAACGCAGGGCCTTGCATATGTCAGGCCCGTGCCCTACCAGTCATATCCCCACCCCAAACATATTCTTTCAAACAGCCCAAGACACTTCATAATTGAGAGGGGCAGGTCACACTCTCACTAACAGTTCATTCCCTGGCGAGTCAACAGACTCTTGCATCTAGCCTGTGCCACCTAAAGAGGTCGAAGTGACTGACAGCTGGGGGATGGGCCCTACCTCCTGCTGCCTTGATCCCCATGCCGCACACCTCGAGCCCTGGAGAACCAACCTAGAACTGAGCCTCATCCCCGGGAAATCCCCGCCTCTTTGGGCCCTGTGACCCTGCTGCAGGGACTCCACGGCCCGCTCCTGCCCACCCCAGGGTGAGGGACATGCTTCGGAAGCGCCAGAGGAGGAGAGGGGCGCCACACTCACCACCTGCAGAAGGGCCAGGTACCCGGCCCCCACGTTGTCAAAGTTGACCTTCACCTTGGTCCAGTACAGTTCTCCGGTCACGTTGAAGGACTCACATTCGCTCTTGTTGTTCACGATGGTGTAGTTCAGAGGCAGGTCTCCCTCCGTCTGGTTGATGCACCTACCGAACTTTCCAGCGAAGAGGTTCACGCCCATGATGCTGAAGATGAGCCAGAAGATGAGGCAGACGAGGAGGACGTTCATGATGGACGGGATGGCACCCACCAGCGCGTTGACCACCACCTGTGGACGGAGAGGAGACTTGGGTGGCCAAGGGCGCTCTCAAGACCTTGCCTCCCCCACCCCACTTGCTGGCCGCAGGTGGGTGTGGAGCGGGAGTGGGGTCCTCCGGTAATGGAGGAAGCTAACTCTCTAAGCTGGAGTTCTGGAGGCGAGGGGGCAAAGCTAGAGAGAATTGAGGCCTTTTTAGCCATACCCTAACTGCTGAGGCAATCCAGAATACACCAGCCTTTTCCTCTCCAGGCCTTCTTTTGCTTTCATCCATGATCTACAGAACTCAATTTTCCTAAAAAGTGGGGTCTCTGATAGTTGCAGCTGCCAGGAGTCCAGTGGGTAGGACAGGCTTAGACACAGCAGAAGGCTTTAGGTTCTGTGTTAGTCCCGCTGGTCCTTACATTCTCTGTGCCAAACTTCTGGCTTATGTTAGGGTTTCGGGAGGATGGTTCCACTGAAGTCCCCCAGGGGACCCAGGCACTCTGTCTGCAGGCTGTTGTCTGACTGCTCGCACTCTTCCCGGGCCTCCGTGAGGTGGCCTCTGGATAGACACATGCGGGAACCGCAGTCCCATCACGGCCCAAGCCTAGCCCAGGAGCCAGGAAGCTGTCTGCCACACAGATGGGGTGAAGCCGAGTGGAGTCCGTCGTGGCACTGAGGGTCCACGGTCAAGATCGGGGATGACACTGTCAGGCAGACAGCACAGCCCCGGAGCAGGTGAGGCAGCGTGCTCCCTAAGCTTTCTGCAGAGAGCGTGCCCTTGGCTGGCACTGCGGCCAGCAGCCACATCAGAGGCATTCCTGGCACCTAGCATCACTCTGTGTCCCTCTGGAATCAAGTGTCCTTGGCTCCCAAAGAGACATTTAACTCTGGTCCGATTACTCCCTTGTGGGTTCCAGCCAGGACTGAGCAGTGTAAGTGGTGCGGGCAAGGTTCAAAGCCATCAAGGCTCAAAGCCATCAAGCAAATGATGAGCTGTGTGATGGTGCTTCCCGGGGCATGGGGACAGACACAGTTCTCTGAAGCCATGAAGAAGTGTGTATGTTAACACACACACACACACACACACACACACACACACACACACACACACA